GCAGCAGTTGCAAGCTCAGCATCTTTCTCACGGCCATGGACCCCCAGTGCCCCTAACGCCTCACCCCTCGGGACTTCAGCCTCCTGGCATCCCGCCCCTCGGGGGCAGTGCTGGCCTCCTGGCACTGTCTAGTGCTCTGAGTGGGCAGTCTCACTTGGCAATAAAAGATGACAAGAAGCACCATGATGCAGAGCACCACAGAGGTGAGAGGCCGGGCAAGCCAGATTAGGACTTGGTCCTAACACTCATACAGTGCTGCAAAGTTGTGTGCACCGCTAAAGAGAGCCCCACCCCATGCAGAGAGCAAACAATGAGCTAAGAGGAACTGTCGCAAAGCTTGGCCACTGAAACACAGTCCTCCCTGGAAGTTTTCAGGGTTTAACGTGGGCATCTGTAGATTTCCCGATCTCTTTAGATTGCAGGCATCTTGACATCTTGGCAACTGCCTAGTTAATGCCAGTGGCCTGTACCATATTATGGAAAACTGTTAACTGCTTAATTGGGTAATTTTCAAAGAAAGTAATGTTGTTAAATGGGGCGAAATAAGAAGTTAAATTTGAAAGTGAATGTGTTCAAATGAAAGGTTTGATAATTGCATCTGTTACTACTTAGTTTCATAGGCTTTAATTCTAGTATGCATAAAATATTGGGCAAAATTGCACTTGACTAATTTTTTGAAGAAAAGTAATTTATTCTGTCAAGAAATAAAAAAATAGGCTTTGTGTATGGTTAAACTGTAAATCTTATGTTTACAAAATACTGTAATTTTCAGGAAATCACTGTATTAGGAATGTGCAATGACTTATATAAATAAAAGCCATTTTTAAAACTGTTTGGGGCTTGTGTTCTAATTATTCCCCCCTTTTTTTTATTTCTGTTCTTGCCTCTGTGTCTGAACGGGCATGTCTGTGCGTTTCTTGGTAACCTCGGGAGCAGACAGAGAACCGGGCACAGTAAGTACTCAACCGCCTGCTGCACATAATACATTTCCCTTCCTCCAATGCACCCCAAGCTGCCTTTTGTGAAACAGGCACAGACACGTATATTCTCCCTGTCTCTCTCAGCGACCTGGTTTTTTTCTTTTTCTTTTTTTTTTTCATATGACTATCCCCCATTTCCCCCTGCCTTTTGTCTTTTATTTATTTATTTATTTTTAAATAAAACTTTCGTTAGGTGAAAGGGACATGATTTGGAGGCAAAGCTGTCTGCTATGATTACTCACTTGGAAATATGCTTTGATCTGTAGGTGCTCCGAACCCACTTTAAAAATATGTTTATCATTGCATTCCGAGTCCAGGTTGCCTCTAGTTTAAAAGAGTATTCATTTTTATCTTAAATCAGTTTTACAGGCAAGAGGTCACAATCCATATGTGAAATTGGTTAGTAATGTGTTATTTCTACCTAAACCATTCATTATCCTCTACAAATGCATCTTAGTTGCTAGGTTTCCATATCTGGTTTTCCTCCCGTAATTGTCCTTGGAGGGTGAACTTGAACTTTAATTTATTTTCAACTGAAGAACCGTGTGTCTGAGTAAGTTCTTAAAAACAAGGAAATTCAGTGGACGGAGGTTCTGGGCTTCTACGGTTCCATTTTTTCACCAGCCTAAACCTTGGCTGCACGTTTTTACATACTGCACGTTCAATCTGTACATGCACTTGCCAGTTAGCTGTGGGGAGATCTGTACCTAAAATGCATCTCTCAAATGTTGTGGAGCAAATGGAGTGAGAAATTGGCCCCTTTCAGCTGGGATGACCTACAGTTTTTTGCCCCCTTTCCTTTTTCCTTCCAAACACGGCAGTATTTTGGCCATGTTAAATCTAAATAAGGTAGCAAAATTGGGATACTGAACTTTTAAATCATTCTGATCCTTTTTTTTTTTTTTAAATGAGTTTGGGGGAAGATATGTAAGTCATTTGAGTTTGAAAAGTTCCCCTTACCTCTTCTGTGTAGAATAGTGGCACTTTTAAAATTCTCTTTGAGACTGATCTCAGTGTACTTTATGTATCAGGATGCATTGGGGGCATTGGGTAAGGGTGAAAGGATGGGGTAGCTAGTTTTAAAATCCTTGTACTATAAGTTTTCTCTGGAAAACGTTGGGAAGGAAAGAGGGGAGGAAAAATTACAGCTAGGGAATAAAATATCCTACTCCCAAAGTACAAACCTAAGTAAACTGACTTTGATGGAGGTGACCTTTATGTTTGTTGCTGGTTCAGTGTCACTGTAGATTGTCATTGTCATAGTTTTTTATACCATGTTCTTTTAGTAGAGTGTCAGATTAAAAACCCTAATCCTAGACCAAAGAACAGAGATGGCAGGAGACGTTGAGAAAGCTCCTGTCCTTTAGTCTGCTGCAGGTTTTAATTTATTGAGCTTATGCTATGTTTAGAACTATATTTCTAATTTAGCTTTCTGTTCTCAGGACTGTTTCATCTAAAAACCAATATATATTTATTGAGTACTTACTATATATGTAAGGCTACATGGGAAATGCAGCTATAGTTAGAGATATGTAGGCACACATATTACAGGTCTTTTCTCAAAGAACTGAGGAAATGTGACAAAAATACTACAAGATTTAAGCCTGTAGAAAGTTTCAGCAGGAGTTCTAGACGATTGTTGAAGGGGTACCATGGTATGTATCTCTGAGATGCCGTCACAAGACTGCTGTTTTCCATACCGCTGCGTGTGTATTTTTGAGTGTATCGAATAACTTCCTATTTATATTTTTGGCTAATAAATGTAAGCAAGAACTTAATTCATTGGGGGAAGTGAGGGTGGGTGGAGGAAGGGTAAGGAGTTCTACCCTCCAAATACAAAACAGTTCTTGAATTTCAGACAGCTGTGGATTGTTTCTAGGTCCTCATGGTGAGTTCACAGTCTGGACTGTTAAGTCAAAATATGGTGGATACATTGCATAAACCAAGCTATGCAATAACACAAAATAAATGGTTAATGTGTTGTTTGCATATTTCTTTCACAACAAATTTTACACAAGTTTCTTAATGATAATTTTAATGGGTATTTTCAGAATAAGTATAGGTACTGTGTTTCCTGCCTAATTCCTACAAGCATCTCTTGGTGATGATGATATAAAATGAGAAAACGACACTAATTTGTAACCTAAACATTTAATTCAGTCTGTAGAGAGGAATGAAATTGTTCACTGTCCACATAAGTGGGATTTCGCTGCAGTTGTATAAAATGAAGTAGCTCTTTAAACTTTGTGTAAAATTGAATATGAAAAGCATTGGATAATGAGATGATGTGTACTATTAGTTGCCTAAAATATTGTAGTACTTACTTGTTTAATAAAGTGGTTTGAATTATGAAGTATTTTACTTGGCAGAAAAAGTCAGTTGATCACCATATGGTGGCTGTGGTTTGTTTTTTATTTTTTGTTTTTTTCCCCCAACCGGTGAAGGGTTAAGGGCAGTTGCTACAGGGCACTGGTTTTCAAACCTATGGTCTCAGGATCTTTACATCTTAAATTAAAATTATTGATGATCCCAGAGAATTTTTGTTTATGTGGATCATATAGTTTGAAAATTTTCTGGAAATTAAAAAAAAAATTAAAAATCACTTTAACAGGTAAAGAGCTACTTAATTTGGGTTACCGTAAATAACATGATTAGTGAAAACTATTTTCCGAAACAAAAAATTATAGTGGGAAGAATGGCTTTGTTTTGCACGATTGCAGATATCTTCAGCGCTTGACTAAAAAGAGGATAGATATATTCTCGTCCACATCTGCATCCAATCTTTTGCAAGACATTGTTTTGGCTGAAGTATAAGGAAGAAAATCTGCCCCCATAGAGATTTGTAACAGTCTCTGGAAACCTCAAGGGGCCCTTGGACCAACCTGAGAACCTCTGTCATAAATAAGGCTAAGGAGTTCTGAAACATCCCACGCTGGTATATAGTCTTATTTTTTTCCTGCTGTTCTTTCTGTATTGAACAAATACGATAATTATATGTGTCAAGTGCAGAAGTCAGGGACTTTTATAGATCCAGAGGGGATGTGAGTATGTATGGATTTTCATCTGTGAGTCTAAAACTGGTTTGTAGATAGTTTGTTTGTTTATTGTTAGTGACAAAATTATTTCATTCCCTAGTTTAAAGTTTTGTTGGTAGGAAAACAAATGAGCCCTACTGTGGCCTGTTTGAATGTAAAACCTAGGAAATTAAGGTACTAAGGACAGTGAAAATATGGACACTATTTTTTAAGTTTCTTCTTTTTGACAAGGATGAATGATAAAGGTGGTAACTTTTAAGAGGGTTTGCTATTTGGCTATTGATTTTAAATTAAGATTTGACTACTGTTTTTATTAATTTGCAAAACTTGTTTGCTTTTTTTTTTTTTTAAACATAAGGCTGCTTCTCCGAATGCTGCAGTTGAGCAAAGAAATATGACCTAACAAAAAGGACTTTATTTCTTATGTAGTAATAAAAACTTGAGATATTTCAATTAATTTAAAGGTGAATTGTGTTCAATTTTGGATGAAGGAAGTATTTAATAAGTCTGCTTGAAAGCTCTGGAATCAGAGAATTGACAAAACGTTGTATGGCTTTTGAAAAAGTATGACAGAACATGTGTTTATTTTTTTTTTTAACAAACATTCATTGAGCACTTACTATGTGCCAGGCGCTATGTAAGGCACTGCATGTACAGTTAACAACATGGGTTTGAACACTGGATTTTTGTTGATAAACACAATATAGTACTTTATATTTTCTTCTTCCTCATTATTAACATTCTCTTTGGCTTACCTTTAAGAATACAGTATATAACACATATACAACGTATGTGTTAATCAACTGTGATCAGTAAGACTTCTAGCCAGCATTAGACTACTAGTACTTAAGTTCTGGGGGAGTCAAAAGTTAGGCATGGATTTTTTACTGAGATGGGGGCACCCCAAATCCCCACACTGTTCATGCGTCACCTGTACCTGCTGCCATTTTGCAGTGATGCCTTTTAATGTCACAGTCAAATATTTGTTGAATGAAAAACACTGGGATACCTCACACATGTGATCACTATTTGGAACATTTGGGGAAGGGAGAAGACGATGGTGATAGGTGTCTGGGAGAGACTCCAGAGCAGAAGCAGAGTCTGTGGACTTAGGTGGGGCACACAGATGGGCTTCAGAAGGTCCTTGAATCCCTTCCAGTTGTGTCCACATTGTTCTGGGTTCGTGCTCTACTTTCATCAAATTCTCAAAAGGGGCTCCTGGTCCAGAAAAGCGTAAGGATTGTGGATCTGTTTAGAGGTCATAACGGTGCAACACCATCATCTTACTGGTAAGACACCAAGCTCAAGGAGGCTAGGTGCCTCTAATCGTGTAGTTAATTAATGGAGGTAGAGATTGAGATTATGTCTTGCCCAAGGGACTGTTTTGTCACTCTCCCATAACTGACTTCTAGAATTACCAAGTTCATCTTTAGAACTTATTTAAAAATAATGATGACAGCCATCACTTTATCTCCTATGAGGTGGTGTCTTTGTGTTTCTTCTGTGGCTGTTGCACTTAACTAGATCTCAGTGGAGTTCTCACTGCACAGGCAAGGTTTTTCATCCTTTTGAACATTCCCCTAGCCTCATCTGTGAATTGGTTATGGAGTCTGCCTCACAGGGTGAGGGGTTTTAGGGACCACAAATGCAAAGTCATCAGACATAGCATAGCTTTAAGGAATGTTCTCCCTGTCCTCCCTACCTGCAGAGTAGCAGGACAGCAATAAATGCATTATTAGTCATGCTCAGTGTAGTGACTATTGGTTTCTTTTCCTTTTTTAAAATGTGTGAGGCATGGGGCTCCTGGGTGGCTCAGTCGGTTAAGCAGCTAACTCTTGATTTCTTTGGGTCAGGGTCATGATCTCAGGAGAGATCAAGCTCTGCATTGGGCTTTGTGCTGACAGGGTGGAGCCTGCTTGAGATTCTCTCTCCCCCCTC